ACAGCCACCACCATCGCTTCAACAGAACCCACAACCTCGACAACCGTCACTATTGCTTCAACAGAACCTACAACCACATCAGCCATAACCATTCCTTCAACTGAACCCACAACCTCGACAGCCACCACTACTGTTTCAACACAACCTACAACCATATCAGCCATCACTATTGCTTCAACTGAACCTACAACCTCAACAATCACCACAAACGCTTCAACTGAACCCACAACCTCAACAGCCACCAGCATTGCTTCAGCAGAGCCTACAACCTCAACAACCACCACAAACGCTTCAACTGAACCCACAACCTCGACAGCCACCACTACTGTCTCAACACAACCTACAACCACATCAGCCACCACCATCGCTTCAACACAACCTACAACCACATCAGCCACCACCATCGCTTCAACAGAACCCACAACATTAGCCACCACCATCACTTTAACAGAACCCACACCCTCAACAGCCACCACCATTGCTTCAGGAGAACCTACAACCACATCAGCCACCACCATCGCTTCAACGGAACCCACAACCTCGACAGCCACCACCAGTGCTTCAACAGAACTTACAACTTTAGCCACCACCATCACTTCAACAGAATTCACAACCTTGACACCCACCACCATCACTTCAACGGAACCCACAACCTCGACAGACATCACTACTGTTTCAACACAACCTACCACCACATCAGCCACCACCATCGCTTCAACAGAACCCACAACCTTGACAGCCACTAGCATTGCTTCAGCAAAGCCTACAACCACATCAGCCACCACCATCGCTTCAGCAGAACCCACAACCTTGACAGCCACCACTATTGCTTCAGCAGAACCTACAACCACATCAGCCACCACCATCGCTTCAACAGAACCCACAACCTTGACAGCCACTAGCATTGCTTCAGCAAAGCCTACAACCACATCAGCCACCACCATCGCTTCAGCAGAACCCACAACCTTGACAGCCACCACTATTGCTTCAGCAGAACCTACAACCACATCAGCCACCACCATCGCTTCAACAGAACCCACAACCTTGACAGCCACTAGCATTGCTTCAGCAAAGCCTACAACCACATCAGCCACCACCATCGCTTCAGCAGAACCCACAACCTTGACAGCCACCACTATTGCTTCAGCAGAACCTACAACCACATCAGCCACCACCATCGCTTCAACAGAACCCACAACCTTGACAGCCACTAGCATTGCTTCAGCAAAGCCTACAACCACATCAGCCACCACCATCGCTTCAGCAGAACCCACAACCTTGACAGCCACCACTATTGCTTCAGCAGAACCTACAACCACATCAGCCACCACCATCGCTTCAACAGAACCCACAACCTTGACAGCCACTAGCATTGCTTCAGCAAAGCCTACAACCACATCAGCCACCACCATCGCTTCAGCAGAACCCACAACCTTGACAGCCACCACTATTGCTTCAGCAGAACCTACAACCACATCAGCCACCACCATCGCTTCAACAGAACCCACAACCTTGACAGCCACTAGCATTGCTTCAGCAAAGCCTACAACCACATCAGCCACCACCATCGCTTCAGCAGAACCCACAACCTTGACAGCCACCACTATTGCTTCAGCAGAACCTACAACCACATCAGCCACCACCATCGCTTCAACAGAACCCACAACCTTGACAGCCACTAGCATTGCTTCAGCAAAGCCTACAACCACATCAGCCACCACCATCGCTTCAGCAGAACCCACAACCTTGACAGCCACCACTATTGCTTCAGCAGAACCTACAACCACATCAGCCACCACCATCGCTTCAACAGAACCCACAACCTTGACAGCCACTAGCATTGCTTCAGCAAAGCCTACAACCACATCAGCCACCACCATCGCTTCAGCAGAACCCACAACCTTGACAGCCACCACTATTGCTTCAGCAGAACCTACAACCACATCAGCCACCACCATCACTTCAACAGAACCCACAACCTTGACAGCCACCACTATCGCTTCAACAGAACCCAGGACCTCGACAACCACCACCATTGCTTCAGCAGAACCTACAACTATAGCAGCCAGCACCATTGCTTCAACCGAACCCACAACCTCAATGGGCATCACCATTGCTTCAATACAACCTACAATTACAGCAGCCATCACTATCACTTCAACTGAACCCACAACCTTGACAGCCACCACAGTCACTTCATCAGAACCTGTAGCTTAGACAGCCATCACCATCACTTCCACAGGAGCTACAACCTTGACAGCTACCACTTTTGCTTCAGCAAGACCTACAACCTCAACAGCCACCACCATCACGTGAACAGGCCACAGAAGCCGCAGTCACCAGTAAAATGAAACATAAATATAAAAACCCCACTATCACCTCACCTCAACATAGACTCATGAAAGCTACAACCACCACTTCCAGTGAAACCACAGCTGACCCCACTTTAACAGAATCTATAACTGTTGCACCTTCAAAAACAACAGATGCTATTATAACTTAATCTTACCAAACAACCAACACAATTATCACTTCATCTCTTCCACTGAACCCACAGCTATAGTCAGCTGACTCTACAACCACTACCACTTCCACTTCACCTGGAACTCCTATAACTTCCACTTAGTTTACAATGACAATGGCCATCGCTCTCCTTAAACAGTTTGTAATCTCTACCTTATCATCTGAACCTGGAACTACAATTGCCACTATTCTCATTTTAATCTAATAGAACCACCCTCATTTGTCAACCTGTTCTCTTCTATGGCAAGTTATGCTTTAGTTATTATCACTACAAATTATCCCACAACCATCCTCCCCCACTAGCTGTTCCCCCAACTGTAGCAATTTCTTCTACAATACCTGAGTCTGTATCTAGTGCCATTACTATATTATACTTGCAGCGGCTACCTTGGTGCCACTTGAAGAATGAGAATTCAGACAAGAACAGTGGAATAATTATCTAAATTTTCACTAAAGCAATGCTTAGGACTTCTAAAACAATAATACTGATTTTATTTTTAAACAGCTGAACATTTATGCCATAGAGATCTGCTTTCATTTGTATATTTCAAAAGAATATAATTTCATAAAGAAAAGGTAACCCAATTTGTTTATTTAGGAAATTATTAAGAAATTTTATACAAAACTTTATAGTAAAATTAGTCATTTAGATTTTAATATGTATGTGTTTCTGTTCAGAACATTGCATTTTTCTGTACACAAGTTACATGCATAAGAAATTTTATATGTGGGGACTTAAACTTATGTGGAGAAAATTTTAGAATTTATAATGATTTATTTCTTTATGTGAAATTTATATTTGTCCAGTTTCTTTTTATTGTAAAAGCTTTTTAAGCAACCATATTCAATTTGAATTAATATTACTAAAAGTGCATTTGAATCTCTATTTTAAATTTTTTTTGCAAAAATCTTGGAAGTCAATCAATTAAAGATTGTTTTGCAAAAATCTTGTAAGTCAATCAATTAAAGATATCTCTTAAGTCCCAACTACATGCTAAAGTATGGAAGATACGGAAGAAGAAAGTAGCAATGTAAATTAAGTAGTAAATTTATTAATTTATACTCTGTTAATATTGAGGTTTAAATTATAATTCCTGATACCCCAGACTTACTAATTCAGGATCTCTAGATGGCAACTAGTAATCTATTACTTTAAAAACTTCACAGGTGGGGCGCCTGGGTGGCTTAGTCCGTTAAGCGTCTGACTTTCACTTAGGTCATGATCTTGTGGTTCATGGGTTCGAGCCCCACGTCTGGCTCTGTGCTGACTGCCAGCTCAGAGCCTGGAGCCTATTTCAGAGTCTGTATCTCCCTCTCTCTCTGACCCTCCCCTGCTCACACTGTCTCTCTCTCTCCTAGAAATAAATAAAAATATTTTTAAAAAATTTAAAAAAAACAAAAAAACCCCTTCACAGGTGTTTATAATGTCAGGCAGGTTTGTGAATCACTGGTTCAAAGGTCATTGTCTAAGAATGACAGCGTAATATATATTCTAATGTAAAATATTAAAAATCAGAATGATCTTCCATGCATGCAAAAAAAGTTATAGACCTAGTTATGTACAAAAACCTTACTTAATCAATTATATATATGATCAAGAGGGGGAATGTTTTATTTACTAAATGGTAAAAAAGTATTTTCAAGAGAAATTTTTACATTAAAGGTTGTGGGCAAAGTAGCTTATTTAAAATCCCTTAAGGCTGGACCAAAGTGGATACTCATTATTAATTTTTACTAGCTATTATTTTAATTATATGTGCTTAGGAGTAATGACATTTTAGTAAAATACATTAATTTAGATTTTTAATAATGAACATTGGCCTTTCTGTCCCTCTGGGCTGTTTTGATTAGGAATATTTTATGGGATGTTTAAAACATACTGACTAGACCATTCCATTTCTCAGTTGGACTTACCATTTTGTAGCTGTTTTATAGCTCTGCTAGTCATCAGAATAATGAATGAACCAAGTTTACCCATATTTGTAAATAAATACTTGTACAGCCTATTTTATAAAGGATGTTAACATTTTCTCTGCTTATAGCACAATTGGTCCTCAAGAAATACATATTGAATAAATAAATAAATGGTAGCTGACTTGTCCTGTACAAGAACCATGAAAATAAACCCTCTGTATCACTTATTATTTCCACTTCTCTAGCACATTAGTAGACCCCAATAAATATTTATTTTAAATTTTAAATAATTGAAAGATAACTTTTAAGGTAAGATTCTTCAAGAATAGAATATTTAACTCTTAAATGTTAGTACTAAGAAAACATTTTAGCCCATTTTTGTTCAGACCAACTCATTCCAATTCTTTCAATCTTTTTTTTCATAAGCCTTACTTTCTACTTTTTAATACTATACTTATTTCCTGAATGCTCACAGTTTCCATAAATTTGGAGTTTATAAGTTCTTATAGGACCACTGGCCTCAGGTCTCTTGTTGGAAGAGGAGCCATGTGTGATGGGTAACAACAGTAATTATTAATAAACTACTACTACATACCAGGCAAAGATTATAAAGGACTTCATTACATTTGGCTCATATTTATGTTTCTCATAATGTGATTTTTACCATATGGTCAGTTTGTAATCTACCATATGCCTCAGTCCTTCTTCTGTTTTGAAAAATATCCACAACTAAAGAATATTCTATGTTCAACACTTCTATCTGTCTTTCTTCTCAGCATTAATATATTTAAGGAACGTTATTTGGAAGCTTCCTCTCTGTTTAAACTATTTCAAAATAGGTCATCTTGATTTCTTATCTTTCCTTCTTTAAAGTCATCTAAAGGGCATGGTGCAGCAGAGGACACACAGGGAGCTCTTGTCTTATGCCACCAGGAGGAAGATCACTCTTACCCATTTAGGTCACTGATCATTTAAAAGAATTGAACCCTGCTTACCAGCCTTTATGCAGGTAAATCAATTGTGTAGATCAAATGACAAAATATTCACTATTTAATCTGTGTGACACAACTCTCTGAGAAGAATGAGATGTGACATCAAGTTCAATTTGGTGAGGGTAGAAGACATGCTGATTCTACATTGATTGCCCATGAAATGCATCTTCTTCCCGTGACCCAAAGGACCAAAGCTGGTGCTTCTAGTGACATCTCAAACAAACTGCACATGAGTAACAGCTCACAGGTGCCTTGGCTGTAAGGCCTGTGCTCTCTCCACTGCAGCAGGGCTCAGCTCTGTGCTAGACATGAGTAAGGACTCTGACCTCAAGGGGCTTATACACTCATAGAGGATTTAATACATATAGGTGCAAAATACTAATTACTGTGTTGCAGAACATGCCTTTGAACTGAATTAGGAGTTCTTCTGGACTTACTTCATAATAATAGGGTTTGGAGTGAAGTTTTTCTGGTTTATATTTTTGCCATTTTCCATGCATTCAGTCTATCTTTTGTTCATCTCAGTTTATTCATTCAATAACTATTTACTCAGTACCTACTATGTATCAGATTCTGGAAATATAGCAGTAAGTAAGAACAAGGTTTCAGCTATCAGAGTTTACCTTATAATAGGAGAAGTAGGCAATAAATGTGCAAATGCATAAACAGACAAGATAATTTCTAGTAGTTAATGAATGCCATAGGGCTGCAGAAAATAGCACGTGATGGGACTGAAGGTGGGGATATTTTATAAGAAAATTTTCATAACCTCCACACTAGTGACATTTTGGGTCATGTAATTCTTGTTCTGTGCAATGTAGCATGTTTAGCAACATCTCTGCCTTCTCCCAACTAGATGCCAGTACGACCCACCCTTTGTTAGGACAACCAAAAATCTCTGAAGACATTACTGAATGTAATGTAAGAGGAGGCAAAATTATCCAGTGCTTAAGAAGGGATAGTTACGGAGGTGATATTTGGGTAAGATGTCTGAATACTGCAATGAAGGACCTACTCTGGGCCCCCAAACCATCTTCGCTGCAGCCTGAGAGGGGTATCTTGGCCCACTGTTGTCCTTTGGTTTCTATGAGGCTCTAGAATTAGAACCCTCCCTTCAACAGAGCACAAAGCCATGTTTGCGGACCAAGAGTGTGGGAGCTTCCTCACCTAATTTCCACTGCAGAGCTGGCTGCAGGCTCAAGATTCTCTCTGGCCTCTATTCTGATTTTTCTGTTCTCATATCCTATTTTCCTCACAATCTTCTTACTGGACCTGGAACCATGCTTTGACTCCGTCACTAGTGATGGGAGTCTCCTCTGTGAACCTCAGCTTGCCTGGCTATTGCGCTGTTATCCTTGGGCATGTGTGCAGGACTGGCTGCAGAGCTGACCCTTCCTGCCCACAGTCCTGATCACTCACTCTGAACAACTGCTGGGAGGCATGGCTCCTCTGGTCTGGTAGCTCTCCGCTGGTAATTTGCCTGAGTCCTGCCCAGAGATGCCAGGGGCTGCTTAAAGACTGACACTTGCCTCCTCCCAGGGGCCTGTGCTCTCATTCACAGCTCTCAGCAACTCTTTCCTGAGAAGGCAGGTTTAGTTCCTGGCCTAAGAGCCCTTCTGGAATATTCTTCTCCCACTCTTTACCTGCTGAAACTTTAGACACCTATCTAGCTCTCCGCATTTCTTATTTCCTTGTCACAGAATTCCAGATCTCCACACATGGTTCTCTGACACCTTGTAGTACATTTTTGTACATTTCCCCTTCCTGACAGTATTACATGAAATAGGA